TTCTCTAGCAGTTTGTTTTTATTTCCAGCATGTGCGGTATATTTCTTTTAGAATATTTTTCCTGTCTTGCATGAAAATAATTCTGACTAGAGTGAAACTCTGGCTAGTGAAGAGTAACAGATGAGGTTGCAGGGCAGGGGCTGCTGGTGATTAAGAAAAACCAGTTGATTTCACCCAATTTTTTTCCACCTTCAGGAGAAAATAAACGTTTCAAAATCAGGGAGCCTAATTTTTATGGTTTGGCTCTCCCTTGATGTTTATCCCTGGTAAACAGCTCTTGTTGATCACATAGATCCTGATTCCGATTTCCTGTCATTACAAAACTTGTTAGAACACCGAGCAGATGAGGCTAGAAATGAGCAAAGAACCCAGTAAATCTGAGTCATGGACAAAAACCCTGCTTATCTTAGCAGCTGAACATTATTAACATTTTAAACTTGTTTTCCTGTCCAGCAGCAGGTCAAACGGAAATATCAGCAGGAAATTGTAGCTGGAGATCTGTGTAATTTTTCTGTATTTTTGATTGTAGACTAAAATGGGAAAGACCTGTTTTAAAAGCTACAGATTGTTGAAAGATTACTGCATTTAATCATTGTAAGTGCTGTTTACACAGCTGTAGGTTCAAACAGTAGGTAATGCCTGATGACCGATGAGCTGGAGCCAGGGACTTGTGTACAAATGGAGCTTTGGCAGGCAAAAAGTATCTTTGTCAGTGAAACAGGAGCCAGCTATCAATGATAAAGGTCTGCTGCCTGCCAACAACTGTGTGAATGCCTTCCAGGTAGCTGAACAGCTAGGGATATGAATGTTTGGAGCAGAAGCTATCGGAACCCTTGAAGGAAAGGAGCTGATTTTCCTCCGCAGTAATAAACGCCTCAAGCCTGAAATTATCCTGTTTATTTCCTCTTTCTAGTTGCTGTAAGTTGTAAGTTTTAATTCACAAGTGTGAACCAGCCACTCCTACAATCCAAATAAAAATGTTGGTTTACTCTGGAGAAGGAAGATCACGAAGCAGCGCTCTTCTCAGCACAAATCCTGTGGACAGGCACTGTTGAATGACCTCCCAGCCTTTCTTGTGTCTGTTTATGTCATTCTATATTTTGCAGAGGGGTAGTTTATAAGTAGATTAGAGTTTTAATTTTGTATTTATGTATAGTTTTATTTATCAAAAATATATAAATATTATCAGTCTTAGTGTAGTGAAACATCGGAATCAGCTGATATTCAGTTACGGTTAAAGCAAGGTGAACACGGGGAGACAATTAAACTGGAGATGACAGAATATGACCAAAAGTGAAATAAAATTAACAAGTCAAGAAATGGACTTGAAAAGAATGAAAATGAGAATTAGAACTTCGAGAGATAGAGAAAGGGAGGGAATGTGAATATCAGTTTAAAAGGATGACAGATGCTGATTGGGAAAATTTCAGTCATAATTTGAACTCCATTAAAGAAATTTGAGGAAAAGGGTATAGAGGAATTCTTCATGTGATGTGAGAAAGTCTCTAAACAGATGAGTTGGACAAAAAGAGGACTCGACGTTACTCACGCAGAGCAAGTTGATGAGTAAAGCACAGGAAATTTATTCTCCACCGTCAGAGGTGCTTTCTTTGGATTATGCTGTAAAGAAAAGCCAAGACATTGGCTGTATATGAGTTAGTACCTGATGGATATAGACAAACATTCAAGAATTGAAGGAAACAGCTGGGATAATAGTTTTAAAGGGTTAAGCAAACTAATTTTGACAGGTGGATACAAGAGTTAGAAGCTGAAACCATGTATAAAGCTCTTGGGTTATTCACCTTAGAGGATTTACAAACTCACTACCTTATATAATAAGAACACATGCTGAGGACCAAAGGGTTGCAATTACTAGACAGATAGCAAGAATGGCTGACGATTGTGAGCTAATCCATAAAACTAAGCCTTTTTTTTCACCCTCAAAAATTCAAAAGACAAAATGAGAGAGTGAAAGGAGGTCAAGTCATCAAGTAAGCAATGAGTAGCTGGGGGTGCGCCAAAGTTTCCTCTTCAGATCAGAAAGGATAGAGATGAAAATTGGAAGCTAGTGTATTTCCATTACAATAAAGTTGGGCACATGTCATTCAAAACTCGAGGTTTGAGAGAAACCCAGGGGATTTACTGGAGCCTGTAGGAAGACTCTGAAAAGGAAAAAGCTATGGGTGAGATTGAGTTTTAACTAAAACTGGAAATAAATATTGTTGTGAGTGCAGAAGTGAGCAGATGAGAGATGCAAGCATCCAAACACATAACTATACAAAGGGATGCAGAGGCTACTCAAGCTCATGCTGGAGAAGGATTTAGTTTTTCCTTTAGCTTTCACTGAACTCCTGAAGTGATGGTAAATGAATTAAGTGGAGAGTATAATTCCAGTTCTAATGTACAAAATCCAATTGGAGTGTGAATTGTTGGCTGGACTAGAGGTAGTTTGGGTAGTTAAGAAATTACCTGTGGACAGAGTTGGTTTACTCTGGGGAATGATTTAGCAGGAGTGAAAGTTATAGCTTTGCCTGTAAACATGGAATGTCAAGTTGAGGTTAAAGAGACAGAATAATTGCAGGAGAAGGTTTCGGGTGTTTTTCCATCAAATGCAGTGACCAGAGAAACACCTCAACAAAGTTAATCACCCGAGGTCACTGATACTGCAAGCAGATGTTAGAGTAACTGAAACTCTGCTTAAAAGTAAGGATAATTGAAAGATGTGCTTGGCATGTTATGTTAATCAAGGCTCAGGAAACAGAGTCAAAGCAAGTTGCACAGACAACTCACACTGAAGCTGAAGGAGCTATATTAAGAATGGAATTCTGATGAGAAAGTGCAGATATCCTCATGGGCGTGTAAATGAAGAATGGACATTTGTCCAACAAATAGGTGGTACTGGCCAGATATCACAAGTAGTGTTGTTGGTAGCAAATAAAATTAATGTGACAGGACTTGTAGGAATACGGAAAATACAGGAGTCAAGAGCTTCATGTTCCTAGAAGCAAATGTCACCAATCATCAATGCTGGTCCGTCCACATCAACACTGCAATCAAGGAAGCACACCTATAACTCTACCTCCTCAGAAGGCTAAGGAAATTGCATGTTCACAATGACTTACCAGTTTCTATAGATGCAACATAGAAAGCATTCTATCTGATGCACCATAGCTTGGTATGGTAACTGCTCTGCCCAAGACCACAAGAGTGTTGTGAATGCAGCCCAGTCCATCACAAAAACCAGCCTTTCTTCCACTGACTCCATCTACACTTCCCACTGCCTCAGGAAAGCAGCCAACATAATCAAAGATGCCTTCCACCCTAGATATACTTTCTTCTTCCCTCTTCCATCAAGCAAAAGATATAAAAGTTTGGAAACACGTACCAACAGATTCAAGAACACTTTCTTCCCCGCTGTTATCAGACTTTTGAACAGACCTCTCCTATTAAAGCTGATCTTTGTCTGTACATTCTCTGTAACGCTATATTCTACATTCTTTTCTATTACCCTTATAAGTATGATTGACCTGGATGGCATGCAAAACAATACTTTTCACTGTATCTCAGTACATGTGGCAATAATAAATTAAATCAAATCAAAGCCCAGCTAATCCAGGAGTCATCACAAAAGTTACAGATTTTAAAAACTGTGTTGTTACAAATGATTGGACACCTAAACAATTATAAAATGCCGGTATATTTAATACTACTGACTAGAATTCTAATTCCTAAGAAGGCTGATCTGACATCTG